GTGTTCATGGTTAGCTGACAGTGTTCATGGTTAGCTGACAGTGTTCATGGTTAGCTGACGGTGTTCATGGTTAGCTGACGGTGTTCATGGTTAGCTGACGGTGTTCATGGTTAGCTGACGGTGTTCATGGTTAGCTGACGGTGTTCATGGTTAGCTGACGGTGTTCATGGTTAGCTGACGGTGTTCATGGTTAGCTGACGGTAGGGGTGGGCGATATGGCCTAAAATTCATATTGCGGTATAATTTGGTGTGTGAATTTCAATATAGGTCTAGCAGGTTCTTGCATAAAATAGTCAAGATTGTTACTTATTTATATATTAGAATCTAATATATATATTTTTTGAGTTAGAAAATCAGTTGTGAGACGAATAAAGAGACAAATGTTGTAACATACATTATTTATGTATGTTACAGTAAATACCGTTCACTGTAAAAGCTATTTTTAAAAAGAAAAACATGTGCATTCATTTAAAATATAAAAAACTCACAAATGTTGAAATCAAAGTCTGTAGGAGTTAGACATGGTCATTATTTAAAGTGTCTGAGAGTTTTGTGCAGGTACATGGCTTCAGTAAAAGCTATTGTTCGTTTACAAAGCTGGTCTTGACATTTGTTGACGCTCCCTAAGCGCTTTTCTCTGCGTTTCCAGTGAACTGGATGATTCAATGGATTTATGTTCATTAAAACAGCGCATTGGATTTGAACAATTGATGTAAATGATCATTTTGGCACAATTAATTTTGTTTAACAAAGTAGCTTTCGTGAGATATTGGCCGCGGAGGTCCGAATCTGACACTAACGTTCCCAAACTCCTGCTGTGATGCTGCGGACACGGCACACGCATGGATCTATTTTGGCTCACGCTGGCGCTTCGTGCCTACACGATTGGCCAAAAGGTAGACTTAAACTGTGATTACTGTGTGTGTATTTACCTCTGCTGGGGCCGCTGTGACAACAATACAGAGACAGAAACACGGTGTTAATGCCGTGCTGTTGTTCGTTGTTTCCAGTGGTGTCTGCTAGGTTAATGTGCAAGGCTAATGTGCTAGGCTAATGCTGCTAGGCTCATGCTAGGCTAATGCTAGGCTAATAGTGCTAGGCTAATGTGCTAGGCTAATGCTGCTGAATGCCGGTTTGTTTTGGTCCTTTCTGCTGGCGTCAGAGCCTGCGCAATTTGATGACATAATGACCTATTGCAATATGCCGGTATAACAAAAATCTCTACCGTGGGCCCAATTTATATCGCATACCGCTTATACCGTTTATATACCCTCGACAGCCCACAGACCTCCCCTCCTCTGGCTGTAGTAACCACACTGTAACATACTCTCCTGTTCCTGCCTCTTCTTTTACGCTCGACAGCCCACAGACCTCCCCTCCTCTGGCTGTAGTAACCACACTGTAACATACTCTCCTGTTCCTGCCTCTTCCTTTACGCTCGACAGCCCACAGACCTCCCCTCCTCAAGCTGTAGTAACCACACTGTAACATACTCTCATGTTCCTGCCTCTTCCTTTACGCTCGACAGCCCACAGACCTCCCCTCCTCTGGCTGTAGTAACCACACTGTAACATACTCTCCTGTTCCTGCCTCTTCCTTTACGCTCGACAGCCCGCAGACCCCCCCTCCTCTGGCTGTAGTAACCACACTGTAACATACTCTCCTGTTCCTGCCTCTTCCTTTACGCTCGACAGCCCGCAGACCTCCCCTCCTCTGGCTGTAGTAACCACACTGTAACATACTCTCCTGTTCCTGCCTCTTCCTTTACGCTCGACAGCCCACAGACCTCCCCTCCTCTGGCTGTAGTAACCACACTGTAACATACTCTCCTGTTCCTGCCTCTTCCTTTACGCTCGACAGCCCACAGACCTCCACCTCCTCAAGCTTGTAGTAACCACACTGTAACATACTCTCCTGTTCCTGCCTCTTCCTTTACGCTCGACAGCCCGCAGACCTCCCCTCCTCTGGCTGTAGTAACCACACTGTAACATACTCTCCTGTTCCTGCCTCTTCCTTTACGCTCGACAGCCCGCAGACCTCCCCTCCTCTGGCTGTAGTAACCACACTGTAACATACTCTCCTGTTCCTGCCTCTTCCTTTACGCTCGACAGCCCGCAGACCTCCCCTCCTCTGGCTGTAGTAACCACACTGTAACATACTCTCCTGTTCCTGCCTCTTCCTTTACGCTCGACAGCCCGCAGACCTCCCCTCCTCTGGCTGTAGTAACCACACTGTAACATACTCTCCTGTTCCTGCCTCTTCCTTTACGCTCGACAGCCCGCAGACCTCCCCTCCTCTGGCTGTAGTAACCACACTGTAACATACTCTCCTGTTCCTGCCTCTTCCTTTACGCTCGACAGCCCACAGACCTCCCCTCCTCTGGCTGTAGTAGCCACACTGTAACATACTCTCCTGTTCCTGCCTCTTCCTTTACGCTCGACAGCCCACAGACCTCCCCTCCTCTGGCTGTAGTAACCACACTGTAACATACTCTCCTGTTCCTGCCTCTTCCTTTACGCTCGACAGCCCACAGACCTCCCCTCCTCTGGCTGTAGTAGCCACACTGTAACATACTCTCCTGTTCCTGCCTCTTCCTTTACGCTCGACAGCCCACAGACCTCCCCTCCTCTGGCTGTAGTAGCCACACTGTAACATACTCTCCTGTGATTGGTTGGTCCTTGTTCTGAAGTTTGTATGTTTCCTTCAGGCGCCGGAGACCAGGCCCTGTTCACATCCCTCTACACCACCCTGGCCCAGCAGCTGCCCCGGGAGCCCATGGAGTGGAGGAGGTTAGCAAGAACTTAGACATAAGTTAGACATGTTAGAGATGTACTCAGACATACAGGAGCCCATGTGCTTAAGAACCACAGCCTGAGACAGTATATTCTACATGTTATAAACTTATGAATGCCATGTGTGTTCTGTTATAAACATACTTATGAATGACAGTGGAACTGACCAATCAGAGCTCTCCTCAGGACGTATGGCCGCGCCCCTAAGATGATCCACCTGGAGGCCAACTTTGTGCAGTTCAAAGAAGAGCTCCTGCCCAAAGAAGGAAACAAGGCTCTGCTTACCTTCCCCTTCCTGCATGTGTACTGGACTGACTGTTGTGTAAGTACACACATCTATATACATACACATATACACACAGACACGCACATATATACATACATATACACACACATACTCACACACATATACACACACATGTACACACGCTGCACCAAGCCCCGGTGATCCAAGATGGCGTCCTATTCAAATGAATGGACGTGGGACACACACATGGACCAAGACATTAGAGGAACTCGCCCATATTTGGGCATCGTCTTTGCCTCCCGGTTCTGTGCAGTGGACGACCTCCCATGATGCTTTGCACCAAATACGTCTGTGTGGCTCTCGTGTACGTGCACAGAGGGGCTCAGCCGCGCTCTGACCAATCAGAGGGCAGCGTTCTGACCAATCAGAGCTGCTGATCAGAGTCAGAGTGGGAAGGAAAGGAGCAGAGTTTGTTTCACTAAAGTGTGGATTTATAGAAAACTGAAGGATTTAAGAAGAAAAAAAGTTCAGGACGACAAGGGACACTAACATCCCCAATCTTTGTTGAAGCTGTAGGTTCTCTGTCAGGTTCTCTGTCAGGTTCTCTGTCAGGTTCTCTGTCAGGTTCTCTGTAGGTTCTCTGTAGGTTCTCTGTCGTGTCTCTGTCAGGGTCTCTGTCAGGTTCTCTGTCAGGTTCTCTGTCAGGGTCTCTGTCAGGTTCTCTGTAGGTTCTCTGTCAGGTTCTCTGTCAGGTTCTCTGTCAGGTTCTCTGTCAGGTTCTCTGTCAGGTTCTCTGTAGGGTCTCTGTAGGTTCAGTGTGTTTTAGTTTACATGGAGTTCTATGGGACTTTTTCCTGGGTAACCCATGTGAATGTAGTCTGCAGTACCACAGCACCCCCTGTGGCCATAAGTGGGACAGCTTTAAGATAATACTGTATCCAGTTGTTAACATAGATCCATGGTCTACTCTGGAGGAACAGGAAGTGCAGCTTTGTCAGTGTGTGTTTCAGGAAGTGTGGAGAGTTGAGTCATGAGTTTTAAGGGAACACATTGTCGTTGGAGCAAAGGTCACTGCCACACAGACACACACACGGACACACGGACACAGATACACGGACACATACATGCAGACACATACATGCAGACACAGACGCACACATATACACAGACACACAGATACAGACACACACACACACACAGAGACACGCACCCACAGACACAGACACGTACCCACAGACACATGGGGACATGCACACACAGACACACGGGGACACACACACACACAAATGCACACTGTCCCTGCTGCTCCCTACAGTTGTGTGAAAGTTATGTTCATAACAACTACTTCAGTCTCTGCTTCAGCCCCGTCAGTCTCCATGATCCTCACTGAGACCCAGATCAAGTTGTGTCCTGTAAACACACTGATACATGAGGTCCTGAGTTTCAACTTTATTAATAGACGTGTGTGTGTGTGTGCCTGTGTTTATAGTGTGTGTCTTTGTGTGCCTTTGTTCATGTATAGTTCCGAGGAGGACCACAGACTGTCTGTATCGTGATATGTTAGAATCACAGACTGCCTGTATCGTGATATGTCAGAATCACAGACTGTCTGTATCGTGATATGTTAGAATCACAGACTGTCTGTATCGTGATATGTTAGAATCACAGACTGTCTGTATCGTGATATGTTAGAATCACAGACTGTCTGTATCGTGATATGTTAGAATCACAGACTGTCTGTATCGTGATATGTTAGAATCACAGACTGTCTGTATCGTGATATGTTAGAATCACAGACTGTCTGTATCGTGATATGTTAGAATCACAGACTGTCTGTATCGTGATATGTTAGAATCACATACTGTCTGTATCGTGATATGTCAGAATCACAGACTGTCTGTATCGTGATATGTTAGAATCACATACTGTCTGTATCGTGATATGTTAGAATCACATACTGTCTGTATCGTGATATGTCAGAATCACAGACTGTCTGTATCGTGATATGTCAGAATCACAGACTGTCTGTATCGTGATATGTTAGAATCACAGACTGTCTGTATCGTGATATGTTAGAATCACAGACTGTCTGTATCGTGATATGTTAGAATCACAGACTGTCTGTATCGTGATATGTTAGAATCACAGACTGTCTGTATCGTGATATGTTAGAATCACAGACTGTCTGTATCATGATATGTTAGAATCACAGACTGTCTGTATCGTGATATGTTAGAATCACATACTGTCTGTATCGTGATATGTCAGAATCACAGACTGTCTGTATCGTGATATGTTAGAATCACAGACTGTCTGTATCGTGATATGTTAGAATCACAGACTGTCTGTATCGTGATATGTTAGAATCACATACTGTCTGTATCGTGATATGTTAGAATCACAGACTGTCTGTATCGTGATATGTTAGAATCACAGACTGTCTGTATCGTGATATGTTAGAATCACAGACTGTCTGTATCGTGATATGTTAGAATCACAGACTGTCTGTATCGTGATATGTTAGAATCACATACTGTCTGTATCGTGATATGTCAGAATCACATACTGTCTGTATTTTTTTTTTATTTATTCATTCCGAGCAAGTAAGTGGGCATAGAAATAATTAGTTCAAGCAACTTAGGTACATGTACAAAATATAACAAAGGAGTAATAACAAAAAGAGTGAGTGATACTAACATAACACTTATGGATGCTCGAAAAGGAGTGGGAAGAAGTGAACACTTATTTAATCCCACCCCTAATTACTTCAGTCATTACAAGGGTAAAGTAAAGTAAAGGCTCCGGTTTTAGCTCCAACGTAAATTTAGCACAGATATCAAAATCTTAAACATATTGTTCATAAGCAAAATGAGTTATTGAAAATGTCATCAGGGACAAGTGTGAAAAATAATAATAATAAAAAAAAAAAAACTACATGCAAAAACAATTTAAAACAAGAAATACCAACAATAGTAATGAACAGCAAATACCAGCAATGGTAAGGAAACATACTCCAAAATGTATTAACAAGAACAAGTACATGCCAACATGAGTCGAGGGAAAAGAAGAGAAATACATTCAAGTCATAATCTCTCTGTATTCGGACCAGACATTGTTTTTATATAATGTCTTAAATCTGTGAATATCTTGGCATTGCATTAATTGAGGATCCAAAGCATTCCACAGTTTGACACCACACACAGTCACACAATAACTTTTACGGGTAGATCGAAATTTGGGAAGTGTAAAATGTCCAAGACCTCTTAGATTATAGTTTTTTTCTTTAGGCACAAAATATGTTTGTATGTTATGAGGTAACAATTTGTGAAATGCCTTGAATAACATGATGGCTGTGTTAAATTTTACAAGGTCTGGGAATTTTAGTATTTTAGATTTAAGAAAAAGTTTGTGTGTGATGCAAGTAGCTTGTTTTATGAATGATCCGCACAGCTCGTTTCTGCAATAAGAATAAGGGTGTTGTTGAACATTGGTAGTTGTTACCCCACACTTCAACACAGTATGTTAGGTAGGGTAATACCAATGAACATTATAGTGTGTGTAGTGCATGAAAATCAAGATAATGTTTCACTTTATTCATGATTGAGATGTTTTTAGCTATTTTTGTCATCACATAACTTATATGGGCTTTCCATGACAATTTGTCATCCATGATTACACCTAAGAATTAATTTTCAGCAACATTTTCAATTTCAACTCCATCAATATTAATTTTAAACTCTGTATTTTTCTTTGCATAACCGAAAATCATTGCCTTTGTTTTATTTAGGTTCAGGGACAGTTTGAATCGTTTGCATCGTGATATGTTAGAATCACATACTGTCTGTATCGTGATATGTTAGAATCACATACTGTCTGTATCGTGATATGTTAGAATCACAGACTGTATCGTGATATGTTAGAATCACAGACTGTATCGTGATATGTTAGAATCACAGACTGTATCGTGATATGTTAGAATCACATACTGTATCGTGATATGTTAGAATCACAGACTGTATCGTGATATGTTAGAATCACAGACTGTATCGTGATATGTTAGAATCACATACTGTCTGTATCGTGATATGTTAGAATCACAGACTGTCTGTATCGTGATATGTTAGAATCACAGACTGTCTGTATCGTGATATGTTAGAATCACAGACTGTCTGTATCGTGATATGTTAGAATCACAGACTGTCTGTATCGTGATATGTTAGAATCACAGACTGTCTGTATCGTGATATGTTAGAATCACATACTGTCTGTATCGTGATATGTTAGAATCACAGACTGTCTGTATCGTGATATGTTAGAATCACAGACTGTCTGTATCGTGATATGTTGGAATCACAGACTGTCTGTATCGTGATATGTTAGAATCAGACTGTATCGTGATATGTTAGAATCACAGACTGTATCGTGATATGTTAGAATCAGACTGTATCGTGATATGTTAGAATCAGACTGTATCGTGATATGTTAGAATCACAGACTGTATCGTGATATGTTAGAATCAGACTGTATCGTGATATGTTAGAATCACATACTGTCTGTATTGTGATATGTTAGAATCACATACTGTCTGTATCGTGATATGTTAGAATCAGACTGTATCGTGATGTTAGAATCACATACTGTATCGTGATATGTTAGAATCACAGACTGTATCGTGATGTTAGAATCACAGACTGTATCGTGATATGTTAGAATCACAGACTGTCTGTATCGTGATATGTTAGAATCACATACTGTCTGTATCGTGATATGTTAGAATCACAGACTGTCTGTATCGTGATATGTTAGAATCAGACTGTCTGTATCGTGATATGTTAGAATCACATACTGTCTGTATCGTGATATGTTAGAATCACAGACTGTCTGTATCGTGATATGTTAGAATCACAGACTGTCTGTATCGTGACATGTCAGAATCACAGACTGTCTGTATCGTGATATGTTAGAATCACATACTGTCTGTATCGTGATATGTTAGAATCACAGACTGTCTGTATCGTGATATGTTAGAATCACATACTGTCTGTATCGTGATATGTTAGAATCACAGACTGTCT